GTGATAGGAATTAATTAAAAGCCTCGAAAAGTGCTGGCTTATGGAGCATTATGTACCCCAGTTAGCAATGCTTATAGACCAACTGTTCAAGTGGGAGGAKAGTCAAATGGTGTGTGCATTACTTTCAGACAGCAGTTTGTTCCTTGCACTGCTTCAAACTTCCTGTGTAATCTTGTCCAAATTAGTTTCACTTTTTAAAATTCGTCTCCCAAGTGCTGATAACACTGCAATGGTATCTGCTTAATTGAGCAGAGAACAGCACCATCAGGGTGTCTAGATGGGGGCTGTCAGATAAACTGGAATGATTCTGAGTTTCTCAATTAAGTCCAAAATGTTTCAGTCTGGACACCTAAATATTTCAAACCAGGAACCTCAAACCTGGACATTAGTGATATAATTAAGAAAGTGAAAATTGTAACATATATCAAAGTGCTCCATATTCTTACAGAGGGGTAAACATGACATCCTGATTTCATTAAGGGTTTTCAGAAAAATGCAACAAACCATCAGTTCCCTTCCACAATCAGTTCYCTTTCAGTAGCATCTCTTCCACACGCTACTGAACTAGAAATATCAGCTTGGGTGGGTAAATAAAAGGAGTTCGTGTGGGTAACACCGCTCTCTTTGTGCCCACTGTCACTTCAGCCACGTGCTTTAACCATTATCTTCACCTGTGTGATAGTCCTTCATAAATTACACATTTATCTGGAACAGGATTGCAGCTCGCCCTCTCCCACTGGAATGTGAACCGTACCTGATAAGTTTTTATAACAGGGATACTTTCTGGTAAACATTAATCAGGTTGTAGTGTGAAAAGCACGGTGGCTGCAGTTTAACCATTACGTCTCACGACCCCGTCGGGGGTTACTCCAGGGATACTCGGCTCCTTGTTCTCCTCAGCTAGGAGAGCCTCTCTCCATTTCCAAGGTTGCAGGAAGCCCTGAGCACCGCGTCCCAGGTTGTAAGGCCTTGGTAGCAGGGGTGCTGCTGGGGAGACGGGCAGGGATAGGGATAGGGAAGGGCTCGGAGCTCAGCCCTTGCAGACCTCAGCATCCCCTTGCAGCGGTCCCCAGGTGCCCCCTTGCGCCTCCTCCGTGTGTGGCATCCCCGCAGCTCGGAAGGGAGCCCCCAAAAAGCGCCCTCGGGGCAGCAATGGGCTCGCAGGAGCCGGGCAGGGGGCAGGTTACCTGCTGTGCTCGCCCCGTGGCGCTCAGGTGAGTCCCGCGTGGACACAACTCGCCTGCCCCAGAGAAGTGAACGCAGCGATAAACATACAACGTCAAGGTTTTAAAGTACATCAACATGTTCTTGCAGTAGGTTTGAATGATTCCGGTAATGAATGACTTCCAAAACAACTGCAAAGACTGCAAACTGCAAAGTTAAATATTTGGAGAGAGATATCCTTTCAGGCCAAGTGTCTCGGAGCACCACTATTGAATTCACTGCTAGTGATTTAACATTTTTAGCTACTATATTTACTTAGGGACAAAATAAAAATATTCAGTGCCCCCTTGTGGCTTCAATTATGAATGAAAATATTCATGGAAAGCTATTAAAGCTTAAGCATTTCCACAGCTGAGGTGACGCAYGAGCTGCATCTCCTGAAACACTCTTTCATCCACACCTGCAAACCCAGAAAATCTGAAGCTTTTTACATTTTTTTTCTCCTGAAAAACATGTGTTCTGATGCTTTCTGAAAAACATCAGAAACTTTGAATCTCAGGTGCAACTGATCAACTCCAGTTTTTCAAGCTGCAAATATACTTTAGGAGAAACACAAGTGGCTGCCGCCCTAGAAGGAAGCCATCTCTGAKCTCCAGCAGTGCTAAATTTCTTATTTTAGCCCAGAGGACCCTCTCAGCCCCAGGATACTAAGGGCAGAGTTAGAACTCATATTATGAGTAATACAACATGATAATTGGTTACTATGTAATATAATCTTCATTAATTGCTTATTTCTTTAGAAGACAGGACAGTGGGGGCAAAATTTATAGAAGGAAACTGGTTAGAATTGCTGCAAGGAAAGACATACAAAGACCAAAAGCCAGAAGGAAAACACAAAGTAAAGCAAGAGTTAGAAACACCAGGCTCAGTTAYTTAGTGTTTTTATAAGCAATCTCCTAAAAACAGTACCGTCACTAAACCCTGGGAAAGGACCTGTGGCTTCCTGCCACGAAAGGAYGCATCCTGAACACAGACCTGGGATCTCAGGCTAAGGTTTAGAATTGGAGAAGATGCTTTTGAACAGAACGCATTGAGCAGAGGCTGCCAAAGGAAAACAAGCTCCACTTTGCAAGACTGTGGTTTAGACCATGTCCCACTAACCCCCCCAAATAGATGCATGAGACCGTGGAGAACATTATTACAGATCAAATGAGACTGTTTCAGTGCTTCCATTTCAAAAAATAGATAAAGGTGGATTTTTCTCAAGGCACAACCCATACTTTAAGCAAACTAGGGAACAGTACAGACCTGYTTCATCCAAGGGAAGGTGCACACTAACTTTTACAGCAATCTAGTAACTCACCAGCAAGTGGCTTTTTCTAGATACTTTCAGAAAGCTTTCAGAAACACATGGCAACAAAGGGCTGATCCAAAAATACAGCCAGCCCAGACCTATCAACTTTGGTTGATTCTTACCTTTCCTCACAAAAACACTAACTTCAAAWGAATGTTAGTGGTCCAAAATGTTACATACTTTCTTCTCTTATGAGGTCATTTCTCCATTAATGGGGTGTAGGGCATCACCATATGAGCAGGGATGGAGGCAGAGCAGTGTTATTCTTGCTTCTGATTATCTTGACAGAGCYCTGGCACAGGCTGCCCAGGGAGGCTGTGGAGTCTCCTTCTCTGGAGGTCTCCAAACCCGCCTGGATGCCGCCCTGTGCCCCGTGCTCTGGGTGTCCCTGCTGGAGCAGGGGRTTGGACTGGATGATCTCTAGAGGTCCCTTCCAACCTCAACCATTCTGGGATTCTGTGGTCTTCCTGCTTCCTGACAGTGATCTTAAAGCATGATACAAGGTAACTTGYCAGCTCCAGAGAGGAGAAGCTAGTGCTGTACCTCATTAGCTCCTGCAATGCACATGCCCTTCACATCATCTAAACAGTGAAGGTGTAAAGGTGACCACCGACCTTTATGGAAGACCGGGAAGTTCAAGAAGGGCCTGGAATGCACAAAGTAACATCAGAGGGACTGATCATCTTTATTATACAAAGAGACAAACAGAAAATAAAATACTTTAATATGAGGGGGGAAAAAAGATACAATTCAAACATAATATCCTATATTGAAACCATAAACAATGGAACATAAAAACATTGTTCAACAGCAAACTTCCAGTAAGAGTTGCATGTTTTAAGTACAAGCATCACTCATCAAATACACAACTCCGTGTACATCTGAGGTTCAGTGAGATAGCTCATGAACAGCAGCAGCATATTTAATCAGATTGATTCATTTTCATTAAATTCTTACCTAGTAGATGTACTGGATGCAATTGCTTCATACCAGAAGTAATAAAATATTAGGCAAGGCAGTGCCTGCCAATACAGATCGGATGCAAATTACAGAAGTAAATAAAAAGAACATTTTTCAGATGTGAAATTCTGGTGGTTTTTTTTTTTTGAATATTGCCTTTATACACATTTGTTGCCTTAAATGTGCGTTCAAGTCAACATCTAATTTCATCTAACATCTTATTTCAGCAACTGTGCATCAAGTGAAAACTAATTATTGCTATAGAAAAATTTGGTTTCCCAGAGTTTTAAATAGATGCAATTTCATCTACAATTCTTAAGATATGATCAAGTAACAAGAATAACTAGTTCCAGTGTCAGATCAGGTGCTCTAAATCTGTATTGGCTGTAGGCATTTATTGCCATATCATATAAATATTTTATTAAATCTAAAAACAAAAAGCTAAACATATACAACTACTAAATTCCTTAGAAAAATGTATACAGTAATAAAATCACCATGGTACATGTTATTTTAAAAAGTTAAGAGTTGACTCTCAGGTTACCTTGAAATTCCTTTCTGTTTAAGGGCACCATCTCATAGTTGGCTTTATAGAAGAAAAGAGAAAATAAAGAATCCAAACAATTTTTCAGCTGCGTCAGTGAACCACTTCAGACCGGTATGTGGTCACACAAGCACTGCAGCTGATGCATGAAAAGACACAGACAAAAATATGGGGGAAAATAAGGAAGGAGTGCAAAAAAAACATAGACAGTAGGTCACTATTTTGGTCAGTAACGAAGTACCCAGCATGTTGTTATATATGAAAAAGATAAAATACAACTTTAAGACATCTCTGAAAAGTTGATTTTCTGTTTTTAGTCACTCTTAAAAATAAAGGACAGAAACTTAATTTACATGTGTATAATGCAGTAGTGCTTTAGTTCCAACATTCACAACATATTATAATCAGAATTCAGCTTCAGAACCCATTATATTGCAGGATGATGTGTTTCAGTCTCACCACTTTTGGAATATGAGCTATTCTAATATTTAAATAAACGGATTACAAGCTCTTACTTGGAGAACAGAGGGGCCATGTCACAAAAAGCAGACTGTACTTCTGCTATAAGGGTAATACTACTATTTTAGCAGTTACTTATATGTAGGAAAATCCCTAGATCTATTCTTCACCCACATAATACCCATTAAGAGTAACAGCTTGAACAGGGGTGATGATGATGCAGGATGAAGAGCCAATGCCAACAGAGTACACACTCAGAACAGGTTATTCTTACCATGGGTAGAGAATCTCCAAGCTCCATAAAAACCAGTCTGAAAAAAGATATTCCTACACACACACACACGCACACAGAAACTCACCACTGACTCTTTGGAGCTTTCTTTCCCCTTTCCTCCGTTAGTATTAGGGGAGGAAAAAAAAACTGAACAGTTTTTTAAAAAACAGATTTTTGATTTAAAATTGTAGAAATTTCATTTTACTGAGGGTCTTGCTGAGCATGTGGAAATATAGGATAGGAAACCAAAATATGAAGTTAAACATTTTAAGGTAAGTTTTTCTGTTCAGCTGTTTTTTCAGGCCTTTAGATGCAGTAGTTGTCCATGTTTCAAACAGTCTTACTGAAACAAAGAATGTTATATATTTCTATATTTGCATGTCATTTGACTTGTTCAGAACGAAGTTAAGTCAGGACAATTCTCTTCTTTGAGAGTTGGGAGCACAGGGAAACTTCTCATTCACTCATTTAGCATGCAAGTGTCCTATTCAGAACTACTGAGCTATAGAAAACAAATATTATGATTTTAGAAGCTGGATCCATTTACTTTCATTCACACAGTAATGATTCAAAAAAAAATCACCATCTCAGGGCTATCTTAGCAAACGGAAATTTAAATAGTGTAATAGAGCATCTTTGTATCAACTTCTAAAGATATTTTCAAAGTTGTCATTGCTGAACTGAAATATCTGGCATTAATAAAAAAGAAATTATATAACTAATAATAGAGTAGTAAAAGTTAAAGACAATCAAGACTGTGAAGTTTCAAAAAGGTCCCTATTACTACAAGGACAGATCGCAGTAAAAACATGAGATAAAATACTTAAGAAAATTCCTTATTAGTGGGGAAAAATTAAACCTGAAAACTACTTACTGAATTCCATTTTTATTAATATACATTTCATATTACCAACAGAATTCATGTAGTTTTTCCCCCTCAGATAATCAGTAGGTTGAAGGGAATCTACATTTCAAAAGTTCACATGACAGGATTCCTGAACCGCATTTTGGTACTGGGCTTCTTCATCAAGTTGAAGATTCTAAACAAAAACATCAAAAACAGATAAATATTGAAGATGCAGCATATTCCTTTGTTTACACTTCTCATATTTTTACATAGGATACAGTATGTAGATGAAGGCTCTCCATTTATACATTTATTAGACTACTGTCTATATTACACAGTTTCTTTTATTTAACCAAGTGCCAAGTGACAGAAGAAACGGGAGAAGAATCAGATGAGTGGAACAAGGCTCATTAAACAGAAAGGTCCATCTTCTCTCCCAGGCTCWATTACGTTACAGAACAGTCAGCTCAGGAGAACAGAACATGTCTTGCAATTCTTATAAGGGAGCTTCCAAGCAGCCATAACCTCTCCTATCAATAAAACAAAAGGCAATCCCCAGACAACAGTAACCATAGATTTCTAGAGGATACAGTGCTTAAAATGTGAAGGGAAACATCACTGCAGACGAGTGGTTAACCTTGCTGCTTTTGAAGAGCTATATTCCCAATTGTGAATACACCAGAAGACACTTTTTTAGTGCGATTCTGGCAGCCTCCCCAAATTGAATTCCACTCACCAGTTCTACATTCTCAAACACACAAGGCTGACTTGCCTTAGAGTCCAATCTCCTATACTGACCTCCAAGTTCTTCACTCCTTTACCACAGGGTATTGGACATAAAAAACATGTACATCCTCTGTACTTCCCTTAGGTACTGAGGGGCTGCCTATGCTTTACATACCATGTATCTGCCATAAAGCTCAAACAGGGTACCCTAGATCCTGTCAAATACTCTAGAAAGCACAACCATCTCCCTCCCAGCTTTCTGACCCTATACCCAAAATTAACTCATTGGTTTGACTTTCAATCCACCAAACCACTACATCTGTGTATGTAGTTTTACATTTATTCCAGGGTCATTTACTCTAAGTGGGCTTGAAAGAAGGCAACCAAAACAGTAATTTAATGCCACATTTAATTCCCACATGTCAAAGAAAAAAAAAAAACTTACCACAAATTCTCCGTAGTCAAATTGATGTCTTAGATTTAGATGGCTGACAAGATTTCTAGTAACCTGGTTAGCATCTGCCCAGGGAAGAGATACACAAATAGGACAGATCTAGATTTGGAAGATGAGGGGAAAGAGAGAATAAAAAGTTAATTGCAATACAAAATGCATTAAAAAAAAAAAGTTTCAAATATATTAGTATATCTRCTGGGTGTGGTAGATTATCACACCTGCGTAAGCACCTTTAGCCCATTCCTGTTGTTCTAAATGTAGAAGTGAAAGAGAATTTCCACCCTAGCTGGTGTTCGCATGAAGCTTCCTCTTTTTTTTTTTTTTTTACACAACTGTGTAAAAAGAACACACTACCCAACATCAAGTGAAAACAAAGCAAAACCCCAAAAAAGTGTTTTTTCTCCTCCAATCTTTTGATTTTTTAGTAACTATAGGCTTCATATGAAGCAACAGTTTGATTACAAACATGACTGTCTGGTAATTCAGATCTCTGATACTAACTGAAGAGGAAAAGTAAATGTCAAATTCAAAAAGTGAGTTTGCTTCAAGTCAAGATACAAAAATTTGAAGTCAAAAGATTGCTTCAAGTCAAATAAAACAAGACGCTTTAGAGCTATGGCTGACAAGCATTTTCAGATGAAAGTGACTCCTCAATGTAAACATGATGAATTAAGTAATTTCAGTCTCAGTGATCTTCCATAGTCCTACAGACCTAGTTAGAGGCTAGCTACTGCACGTGGTCTAAAATCATAGAATGCTCAAGGTTGGAAGGGACCTCAGAGGTCATCTAGTCCAACCCTCCTGCACACGCAGGGTCAATTCTCCCACCATTCCCTATAACTGAACAAAAGTTGTTTAAGAAGCATACACTAAGCAACTGTACTTACTACAGGAACTATCTGATAAAGGTGTCTATTATTACAGTGGTCCAGCAAGCGTTGTCTGGTAAAATTGGCTTCCTGACACAAGGGGCATTTGAACGTTGGATGTCCACTATAAACAGAAATACATACGATTATCAGCAAAGACTTTCAGAAGAAGTTAGAGAAGTGACAAGATAACAAAGGATTTATTTTTTCCCTTGATTTTGATAATAAACGTCCCCAAAGCCATTGTGATATTATAGCAGCACTGCTAGAGCTTGACTGCTACTTCTGAAGTAGAATTTTAAAGCAGAATTTAGTATTTGTATGTTTACATAGTCTTTTGAGACTGACTTCAGAAAATTCTTCTGCTCTTATTATAGCTCATGCCATTCTTATTTACCAGTAGTATCCTTCAGTTCAAACCCTTCAGTTTGAACTGCGAAAGAACTAAATTTGGTGCTGAGGAATCCAATTCTAATAGAGAAGAAACACTTTAAGCTAAAATTTGTAGTAACTTTTGATCAATTAGCAGAAATTTATAGTATGATTCACTAGGTCTATTTAAGTAATAGCTGTGGAAAAATAGGCAGCCTACCTTGTATCTCCTTGAAGCATCTGATCGTTTGCCCCCTCTCCATTATCAGATACTGTATCACTCCTGTTACTTTATATATAAAGAAAAAAAAAAAAAAGAAATTTACATTAGTAACAGGAAAATCCCCTGAGTTCCACAAAATTAAGGCAAAACATATAATGATAATTTACACATATTTTAACCTGTACCACTGTTCAAGCTGTTCTTTGAAATCAAGATACTTCTCAGCATTTAGTTACCATGGTGATTCTTAGTAAAATACTATACATTTTAATAGGCAAGTGATAGCTAATACAATGGATATATAACCAACAAGAACGATGGAGATTACAGACGCATAGCTTAAAAAGCATTATGAATTGTGTGCATTTCCTAAGTTTTTTTGATTTAGGACAGTGCAATAGTTGTTTACCTGCCATGCATTTATACAAGTCATTTACAACTTTGAACTCTTATCACGGTAAGTTTCTCTAAATTGTGTTGAGAATCTGCTATTTCTTAAACTAAGGGAAAGCAAATGGAAAGCAAACAGGAACACTTTAGAAAGTGAATTTGTCCATACAGGTACCTCCAGCTAAACCATAAATTGCTTGGGCATGCTGATAAACCTAAAAGTGTAAATATTTACAATCACAGATCTGATTAAGGACCTATACAGGAAGGCATTGTGATGTTACAAGAAGTTTGCTGGGGCATACTCAATGGGTAGCTATATGACAATATCAAGGTACTGCAGATAAACATCACAGCAACTAGCTCTGACAACGGCTTAAAATTCAATTTTCAGCACACTGTTGGGTTGAAAACCCAAGCATGCACAAATTCAGCCTTCCAAAACCAAAAAACAAACAAACAAAAAAAGCCAAGATAGCAACACATAACCAATAAAGTATAAGCTATATATAACAAAGCTCTATGAAACTTATGTAAAATAAGGTCTTCATAAAAACGAAGAAAAAAGGAATCCTAGAAATGTATCACTCAGAAAACATTGAGAATGAAACTCTTCAGCTTTATTGTCTGAAAACAAATGAGTAAGTGGCATTGGATTTTATGGTATATAACTTTCCGGATTTCGTTATACATTTCATTAAAGATCAGTTCAAGGTAGATTGAATCTGAAATCAAAAGTCTGCACAGTAGTGGTTTGCAACAGGATACCTGCTAAAACAGATTTAGGAAAGGGGAGGGAAGAGGACAAGAAGGGAACTTCCCTGGTGCTAAACACAATGAAATCTGTATTTCAAAGCAAGCTGCTCAAATGCTGTGAGGGCAAGAGACAAAACAAATAACACCAAAAAGAAGGTGGAAATATTATGCACTCTTTAGAAGAGTTCATAGAAGACACTCCAAACCATGGTCTGGAAAAGTTCTCTTCTGTATGCCAAGAGAGGAAGGATCTGGAAAAAACATCATTTGTTGACACACCAAAGTACAGACGATAATTATTGAAAGCATACCCTGGAAAATAAAACAATTTTAGGAAAGAAAAAATAAAAAGGAGGAAGACACTTTGCTATACATAAAACACCCTGATTACCTGTTCCCTGATGAATCTTGTGAAATCTGTAAGTTTGGTATAATAGAAGAAACACCGTATTCATCCTGATACTTCTTACATGTTTTATAATGCTGCCTCATCCATGAAAATCTAACCTGCAAACAAAATGCCAAATTACTGAAATTATACTAAGCAATCCAAGGATAGGAAGAAGTAAATCTGCCAACAGAAAACAATACATGCAGGGCACTTTTTAGATATCACATGAAGCAGAAACTAAGACTGATGTGTCTCCCTCTCTGGACGAACACTTCCTCTCCAAACAAGGAATTTTTAATTCCTTTTTCTGCTGCCTCTACCACTCTGTAAGAACAAAGAACACTAAACAGCCAAGCAGCAAACAGTTCTGCCTCAACAGAAAGAAAGAAGAGAGTAACATCTATTTGACTGAAAAGTCATGGAAACGTCACCTCCTGMAGATAAGGTAACTGATGAGCTACGGGGTGCAGGAAGGTAGGTTKGGAGTCTTCTCTAGGCTGTTCTTGCTTTGTGCAGGGACCTGTCTTTTTGCATTGGGAATGTTCTGAGAATATCCCTTATATATCAAGAATATAACTTGATGGGGCAGGGATAGAGCCAGTGACACAAGGCTGAGCTGCTCAGATCACCCAGAACACAGCTGTCCTGGACATGCCCCAAATGAGAATTTCACGTCCAGTGGCACTGTCAGGCAGTGCCTGTGTGTCTAGAAGACATCCGTACAACAACCCATCTTATTGATTTGCACCTAAAATCTACTCAAACTCTTTTGGGGGACCTGTTTTGTCCATCCTTCCAGTTTACTGATTTGTTATTGTTTCTTTCTCCCAGCTTTTCCATCCTCTGGGTGAGGTGAAACAAAGGAGCTTTGTTTTCAYTCATTTTTCTCATTGCTTTGGAGGAAACTTGACATTCCACTAAYCAACAGCAGGAAATGCTGTTGTAGACAAGCCACTATTCTCCTTCAGCTTATAGATATAAGTTGGTGAGGCCTGGTAGGCATTGCATGCCTAATACAAGCACAAACCACACCAAGCAAATTTTGCCAACTGCTATAGACTGTAAGGCAGGAAGTAAGTGCGTGCAGAATCAGGTCAAATAAAATAAATATTTACTCAATTGTTTATAAAGTTTTACTCTACCTGCTTTTCACAGCATCTACATCCCCCCGAAGCTTTCTTCATATTGTTTTCAACATCTAGAGCCCTTTTGGGATATGATCTTTCCTTTTTAGTCACACTCCCCCGGCAGAGAGGACAATGTGTTCCACTTTCTCTGATAGCTGTCAAGAAGCACTTCCTGCAAAACCTAAATTGAAAAGTTATCACAAATGCAGGTTAGCAAAGTGGAAAGAGCTGGATACTTTGTGTTTAAAGACAGCCGTGTGATAATTATGAAAAAAAAGCATATTAGAATAAAGGTTCTTTGAATGCAAAACCTTATAAAAATATAGGCAAAGGAAAATAGTAGCATTTATAAAGGCTTAATTCCCATACTGAAATCAGGGAACTTTGGCAGAGCATTTTAGGTAGATCTTATTATTTACTGTCTACTATTTCTAACCTGCATACCAGATTGATCATTAATGAGATATTAAACGGTGCAGCTGGCATGTGATCCTGCAAAATTTTTTATCAGCAACTCCTGTTTTTTGTCCTTGAGCAGAGCCAAAAATAATGCAAAGCTGCATTTAAGAGTTCCTGCCGACTTCAGTTTGGAAGCTTTTGCATTTCTCCTCACCAGTATGCAGACAGACCATTTTGTTTTCCTCAAGGCGTGTGCAAGAACAACTGCCAAAGCCATTAAAAAAAAAAAACAAGAACAAAAAGGTAAAAACTGGAGTTTGTAATTAAATGTTGCTCTGGGAAATAAAATCCTTTTTCACTGTGAGCACAGAAACTGAAAGAGAAAACAGCTGAACTATGGACGTTAAAAAAAAATCAGGAAGCTGTTAAGTAAAGTTAAAAATGCAAGTTTGGTTAGATTTGCAAGCTGTTTTCAAGCATGGTGATCWTTTACAGACCTGCCAGAGATAAGATATGGCTGCAGAAACACGTATATTTACATGATTAGTCCTCATCCACTACAAAAGAAAGGAGTGAATATGAAGATGAACGCGAGAATCAGCAGGACTTTGGCGGGAGCGCCGGGCCGGGCCGCGGCGGCGCAGGGGCCGTGCGGGCCGGGCCGGTGCCGCCGCGGGCCGGGCCGGGGGGTCCGGGATACCCACACGTGCTGGCAGTTGGCCGTCCTCACGGGCGTTTTGAACACCTCCTGGCACACGGGGCAGTAGAAGTCGTCCTCGCTGAAGCGCAACGCGGCGGCCTCCTCGGCCATGGCGGGCCGAGACACTGCGGGGGCGAGAAACGGCCGTAAATTCATGGCGAGGCGGCCGGCGGCGGGCGGCCGAAGATGGCGGGGGCAGCGGGCACCGCGCGCACGCCACGCCTCCCGCCCCGCCGCCCGCTACCTGGCGCCGCCGCCGCCGGGCGCCGCCGGGGCGCCTCGGGGCCGCTGCGAGGCCGCGCGCCGCGCTGCGCCCGGGCCCCGCCGCTCTCCCGGGGCGCAGGGGCGGGCCCGGGGCCCGGGGCGGGACCGCGTTGCCATGGCGAGCGCCTCCCGGCCCCGCGGCGCTGTTGTGACACCAGCGCCCGGCCGGCCCGGCCCGCTCCGCTGGGCTCGCGGCGAGGCCGCCCCTGCGCGGGGCGCGTTCCCAGCGGCAGGCGCAGCGAGCGCGGCGCGGCGCGGGCAGGAGGGCCCCGAGGCGGCGGGTTTGCCCGGGGAATCTGGCCCGGGCACCGCCGCTCCCCGCTGGGAAACGCAAATAAACGAATGGAAACGGGACTGACCGTGTGCGGGCTGCGCGGCAGCGCCTGCGCGGGCCGGAGGACGCACTTTTTTTCCACAATGAGGAATTATAATATTTACTCTAGTGATGTAATTATGTCATTGATTTTCTCTGACCGTAGAAGACTTTGGGCCTGCTAAGCACCTGTAGCGCTCCCACCCCCGTTGAGTGTGGCTCTTGGCAGATAAAAACTTGGATTCTGGTAATACTTGAAAAAGAAACAGCTCTCCCGTAGTGCAAGCTGGATACCCCATCCCCAACTACAAGATGCCCCTGTAATTCCTCCCTGAATGGGTAAATGCCTCGCTGCCTTCTTGCCTTGCTCAGAAATACGTTTGGTGGTTTTTTTGCCCATGTTGTCTGCAAATTTGCATTAATGTCGTTAGAAGGCCGGATTACAGAAGCCTCCGCTGACGCTGTAGCGTTTCCTTGCCCTGCTCTTGGGACACGAGGCCGCGTGGCCTTCGCCGGCCGCGTGGAGGGGACTGACGTACGGCGGTTTCCATCTCCTTTCAGTCACCTTGTGTGGCCTCAGGCCAGCGCCTTTATTTGCCACCTGTCCGATTTGTAAACTGGGAGCAGTTTTTAGTGATTATAGAGGGTTGYTAGTTACAACCTTTAGTTAATTATTGCAGGTAGAGCAGGCTAGGTGTTAAACACCGAGGTGTTAAACATAGTGAGGCAAGTCTTAAACAAAGGCTTAAGATTTATTACTAAAAGAACATGACAGGTCCATTTGAACTTTGTCGAGGAGACCACAATATTTATTGATTAGCAGGTTTTGGCAGGGGGAGAAGTTGTGCCGATGACCTCAAGGAAGTAAACTACGAACAGATGTGTGTGAAAGCATCCGTGCTGCTGCATGAACGTTATTGTAAATCTTGGTCCTTTAATAAAGCTATGACCTTGAAGTCAACAACTCATATGCCACCAAGCAATATATACAGCATGGTGCCAGCCCGGTAAATCTTGCGTAATTTTTGCCATCAAGATAGACAACATATAAAAAGAAATCAGACTGTTGAAATTTATTAAACGTGTTTATTTGTAGGAACACATTTTAAATCAGACTTCTTAGATGAAGTCAATGCCTGACCAACTTTTTATTCCCCATGAAAAGCATATTTATGCAATGAAATCTCAACAGTGGCAACTTGTAGAATCACTTATAAAATGTTGTGGTTTGCTGGGTGCAGCTGTACTGAAAAGGCACGTGTCGGATAGCCTGTGTGCAACTATTCTTGTAGCTGATTATTCAACACTAATGATCCTCCTGCAGGAACAGTGTGTCCACGTGGGAGTGGAGGGTATTTGGAGCTGTGTGGGAGCTGTCAGACCCAGGAGGGTGGAAGACGAAGGGATTAGGGATCGCTGTGTGCACTCATAGCACAAGGGTTGGAAGGTGCCGTATCCTCCTTTAGCCTTTAGTTGTTTGTATCATATGTATCCTTTAGATGTATCATCTCCTGCAGAGAATGTTTCCAGCCATGTACAGGATGGAAAAGCACATTAATTCCTGAGGCAGTAACTTACCAAGAAATACATTCCAAAAAATCCCAATAAAATTTGGATGTGCAAGGAGCCATAAACCCRACTATTAATGTATTAATCCATGCGGTCCTTTGACTTCTGAGAGAACATAATTTTTTAGTTACTCCAAAAATAAAACGTTCCCACAAGTCCTGCACTTTGGACCAGCTCTATCCATCTTTCTCATTGAGAAGTTTTCATTCAGGAACAGATCTTAACAAGGAAGGAGAGGGAATTTCCCAGCACATGAAACATGAAAGATTCCAGGTATTGTTCCTGTAGCCCCTACTTGTGTTAAAAAGAGTGCTGAAGGTAGCAGACAAACTGAACTAAATTCCACCGAAGTCTTTGCAACTCTTAATATACCTTTCAGAACAAAAGTGAGGAACCTGTTCCCTATGGGCCAGATAAAGCCTGCAGTAAGCATATGATTTCAAAACTTGCCCTAACAGTAGGGATGGTCACATTTTCTGTTATTGATGGATATCAGAAATATGCGTATTGATATACAGCTTACTGCAAGTTTTCCTGAGCCTACAGTAGCAATACTCCATGCCACTCCTTAGAAGGAAAAGAATTTGGTTTGCTGAGATTAGCAAATTTCTCAGATATGTGAAGAAATCAGGACTCTGGTGATTACACTCTGAAGTTGTTAGCAGGGGCAGCCACATACAAGCATTGTATCAGMCAGCTTTGTGGACATGTCTGATAATTAGCAAGTGTCAGAGACTCCCTCCAAGATAATACGAAGTACACGGAGGTGCTTTGATTTCTCTTAAGTTGCTCTAGCAAAAAATGTATAAAAGCTGCCTGTATTTTCCTCAAATCTTCCACTCCATGAAACAGGTTCCAGGGACCCTCAGAAGCAGAATGTGGAAGCATGTCYGGCTGCATGTCAGTATGCAACACACGGCTTGTTCACAAAGTCTTTATTTTGCAAAATAAAGGCTTTGAGGTCCAAATAACTATCTTGGTCAATGTTTAGTTCAAATAAATATGTTTATTGTATCTTTTAAATTAGGAGACTACACGGTCTCCAAGTAGATGTGACTAGTTGGTCAGGTGGCTTATATTTAGGAATCCAAGGGAACATACAAGCAAAAAGACTGATACAATAACTATGTGGCTGTTGTCCAAAGAGGGGAAAAAAAAAAAAAAAAAAAAAAGGTCAAATCTACTAGCTGGAATATCATCAAATGTTACAGCTTTGCTACTAAAGCTGGGATCTGCAAGGCCTCTGCCAAGTGAAAAAGCAATTCCAAGAAATTGGTAAGTATGACTTCTTTCTAGTTGCCCTGTGATTCAAGTATGGGTTTGCAAACATATAAAGCTTCATCAGTGTACCAAAAATAATTATGTTTGGAAGTAATTGCAGATAAATTCAGCAATGTGTGTTTTGTTCTTTTCTGAGTAGATAAGGCATAAATGGTTCTCTGATCCAGTTATCACGTGGCTTGGTCTAGATAAGGGAATACTTACCTCTGAGAATGTTTTAGCCACTTCAGTACTCTGGTTTTAGCAATAAGCAGATTGGATTAGCAGTTACTGCAGCTGCTTTGAAAGCTTKTTGTCGGTTAGGGATATGATGGATGAGCCCTGGTGAATCTTCCTGTAGACACCTAAGACATGACTGCCCTTTGCTATCCAAGCACAAGTGCAGAGGCCCAGTGCTAATAGGATGGGAGAGCCTTCCTTTGCATTAAATTACCGCTCTTCATCAAGTCAAGCGGTAGGGATGTGGAGGGTCCCAAGCTGCAGGAAGGACAGGAAGGGACAGAAGGGAGGTCATGCTCTGCGTGGCAGCTGCTCCCGCTGCTGTGAGCGCGACCCACAGTCAGCACCGCACCAGGGTGAGCACAGCGGAGCCKGCTAGCGGGGAGGTTGCAAAAACCCTTAAACCTCTACGGTAAATCTGCATTCTCTGTCCTTCTGCCAAACGCCGAGGCTCTGCAGCAGAGCTGGCAGGAGCTGGCTTGTGTCCACAAATCCAGCCRCACATAAATGCAAAATGTAGCTTAAATAAACTGATGACTTAACACCGAAACAGACAGGGAGCAGGGACATGTTCTGTTTTGCAGGCTCTGCATGGAGATTTAAATGCAGCTTTTACACATGAATCACTGGGCAGCTGGGCAGTCCCTCCAGCCAGCCAGTGCAGGCCATGCCAGCACGGGTCCGGTGTCACTCGCGTCCCCTGTCCCAGCCTCCAGGCCAGCAAGGGGCATCGCACGCTTGTCTTGAGCTGCGCCCAGTTGGGCAGTTTAGTGCCAATCGCCTTCTCTACTGGTTAAGCTCAAACGCCAACCGCTGCCCCAGAGCTCACAGGCCCCCACGGCAGCCCYGGCACAGGAATGGAGCTGGGAGCTGCGGCAAAGGCCAGGAATGGAGCTGGGAGTTGGCGTCATGCAGAATGCAATCAAACTGCAAATCAGACAGGAGGAGTATTTTGCAGTTGCTTCTTGCAAGTAAAGTGCAAAGAGAGTACAGCCAAGGCCCAACATACTCCCTGTCCAAGGATAAATTCCAAATTGTTATACATGATTTGCTCACAGGCAGGATTTAACTTGGATTATTCTGTACTTCATACAGAGTTGAAAAGGTTTCCTTCTTCCCCAGACAGGCAGAGCACCCTGCGCRCAGTTCACAGACGCTTTCTGAGAGCCCTCCCCTTTTTAATGACACAAAGTATAAATGCAGATTACCCTTRGACGGTTGGTTTGCTTTCACCATAAAATTGTCAGTAGCAGGAAAAAAAGAAAAAAAGAAGATATAAGGGATATAAGAATAGATGAAGACTATTTCCACCCAATCAGCTATATTTACTAAGGACAAACTTAAAGTGGTACATAAACACCTGAAAAATTCAGGTGGACAAAATAAAGGCTAAGCACCTCAGGGTGTTGTCCCTGGACATTGCTAGGCCCTATATTCCTCTTTCCGTGTTGCCTCCAAACYATTCACTGAAATCTCTAGGTAAAGGCTGTATATATATCTCTCAAGGCCAAT